CGTATGTTCTAATAAGATGTCTTTGGAATCCTCACTGACCACATGGTATAATATACTGTTTTCACCTTTTGCCTGTTTAAAACGGTATATTTCATGCCCCATCCACTAAAAACTACACATTTGACTTACAGTTTGAGGTTTTTAAATCATTTTGTTTATACTTCTTTTCTTTTAGTAATCCAACCTCACACTTGGTGGTTAAAGAGCTGCTTTTGTAGTCCAGTGCCTCGGAGCCACGTTTCTTACATTGTACATTTGCTTGATATCGTTACTTTTCACACAATTCCGTACCCTTTCCTGTGGCGCAGTGCGTGAAATGTCTTGCCAAGGAGCTCGGCAACATTATGCAAAGCAGATAGAAAGCCTGCATTGATCCCCCACGTCGTTTTTGGGGGGTGATGTATACAAAAACCTCTCACACAGTGTGTAATCCCAGCTATTTAAAAATCCTGTAGAAATATATGAAGCTGAATTTGTCCTCATTCAAGACGCCTCTCTTTTCACCATTTAAACAGCGAACAGAGAAGTGTGGTCGTTGATGAAATATAAATGCGTGTCATCTGGAACAGTCTGAATATGTGAGTGTGAGGAGCAGATGGTTGTGGCACTAAAAATGCATAATAAAAAAAAAACAGATTTCATTCCATCTTTATGAATGTGGAATATTGTGTTTGGACCAAGTTGAAGGACTTTCCAGTGCAGTAGTGGTATTAGAACATTGATTAGCACTTGATTTTTTATTTTACTAGCTGTACTTATTTAACAGGCTTGAGCTGAAATTATATGAACAACTAAAAACAGCTTGACAAAATAATAATTTTGCTCCAGGGAGATGAGAAAATCATTCACATCCTTCTTCATCTTTCACTCTTGTTTCACTTTTAATGCCTCTATTGACTATAGGCTATTTGTATATACAGAAGCCTCATTTCCACTGCACAAAAACATGGGAACTTGGACCAAAAGCCCTTTTAGCCATTTAACAAGACTGAAGGTTCTGCCATGACAGTGAGCGCACTAAAATGTCTGTTTCTCCATGTGGATGATAGACCTGCCATTGTCCATTAAAATGTGATTCCAGTCTTCTGAAGTCACTATGTCTGTCTTTCCGTTGGTGAAAAGCAACACGCTAACCTTTCCTCCTGCTTCAACATGGGTCAAAAAGCACACAGAGAAAAGCTTATTTTGTAGAATAGGGTTAGAAATCCCTTTTCATTGTTATTATTAGGAGGAAAGTTGGATGCTAAGGACAAATCGTATACATGACCTTAAATAAGCCTTTTTTTTCTTTTTTCAGAAGATATCAGATGTTCTATTGTTGACTCTTTTATTTAACAGTATTTCTACAAAAAGCTGTGTTTTGATTGATTCGTTCTAACCAAATTCCCATCAATCCAATGCCTTTTCAAACCTTTTAGAATTCCGTACTCCGTATTTGTATGAAAGGAAGTGTTTCTGCTGCTTGACACCTTTGGGGCTATACTCGCATGCGGAAGTCACATCCTGTCAAACCTCTGAAGCTAAGCAGGGCAGGGTTTGGCTAGTACTGTGATGGGAGACCAACGGGAACACCAGGTGCCACTGTGGAGCGGCTGCAGCTGTAACGTATCAAACTGTTGTTGTGTCCTCAGGCAAGACACTTCACCCACATTGAGTCTGGTGTGTGTGAATGGTTGGTGGTGGTCGAAGGGGCCGATGGCACATACAGGTTATCTCACTTCTGTCAGTGTGCCCCAGGGCAGATGTGGCTGCAGTAGTAGTTTATCCCCACCGTGTTTGGAGTGAATGAATAATGACATGTGAAGCGTCTTTGAGTGTCCAGAAAAGCGCTTTATGAAACTGCATTATTATTATAATCATCATTACCTGGAATTCTCCTACAGGGATAAATAAAGTAATCTGTCCTTCTCTATTAATTTGTCTGTTTTGTTAATGTATGTGCAAATATGTGCATGTTCTGAATAACTAATCTAATCTAACTATTCTTTAGTGAAAACATTTTATTTTCTATAGAATAAATGTATGGGTTGGAGTGATGCATTGGATCTGAATGTAAAATTTACTAAAACAGAAGCTCATCAAGTCGTTATGCAGTATGTGTGTTTTTTAAAGAGACAGTTTTTCAAGCAATTGCATAAATACTGCACTACACTTTTCTATAAATGCCAGAATTCTTTTTCATTTAAGGTTTGCATGTATAAGAAATGACAATATCAATTTTATTTTCAGCTTTCAAATTCCCCATATCCATTGAATGTTTTTTAGGCAATAATGATATTTTCTACACATTATACAGCCATAATTCCAAAAAGTATGATTTCTTCAGGCAGCATTTTAATAAGGAAAAGCAACAGAGACCTTGACCCGAGTCTTTCAACCTTCATCATTACATTCCTTGCACCACCACCGCTCAAAGAAAAGAAAAATCGAAGGTTATGAATTCCTGAGTTGGTTCAACAGGTTCAAACTTACGAATGCTTACGAAACTCTGCATTTCCAACCGTAGTCTTTAGCTCAGAGTGAAGAACTTTCGCCGCACTGACTAATGACAAATTCCACTGCTGTTTCACCTTCGCGAACCTGTCCCTCCGCACGCTCCCTGCCCTCCCACCTTGCGCTTTGACAAATGGTCCGAGGCTTTTAAAAGTTACCTCAGCTCGTTACAATGCTCTTAAGTGCGTGTGTGTGTGTGTGTGTGTGTCTTTGTGTCTGAGTGTGTGTTTTGCTTGTGTTTGTGTGTGCATGTGTGCATCTGTGTGTGTGTGTGTTTGCGTTTGGCAGCAGGGAAACAAATGATGGCTGTGAGTGTTGCTACATTATCCGTGGCTGGTTCAAGGTCAGGATAACGGGCTGTTTACGTGCTGCTAAAGAGTGTTAGCTTAACGCTTCATGGAAGAAAACAATTTCACTGAACTCCTGAACTCGGCTGCAACAAAAGAAAATAATAAGGCATTAGTTTTATGTAAGATATTGTGAAGGACATGGGGAATGGCAGAGTACTTCATACAATAGCCCCATGTGTTTTTAAAGCTACGTTACTTATTGTTCTTCATTAACAATATGTTGGTTTTGTTACAACTCAATGTGTAAAAATAACAAATAGAGCAGTAGTAGTAGTTGTGATAGTAGTAGTAGCATTAGCAGTAGTGGTGGCGGTGGTAGTAGTAGTAGTAGTTGCGGAAGTAGTAGCGGTAGTATAAGTAGCAGTAGTAGCGGTGGTAGTAGCGGTAGTCGTAGTAGCAGTAGTAGTCATAGTGGTAGTAGTAGTAGTAGGAGTAGTAGCTGTAGTAGTCATATTCGTACACAAAAACACTGAAACACAAGATCTACACTGACATTTTTGGGACAAATATTGGATATCTTCATCTTAATTAGATACATTCTGTTTGACTTGATTTTCAGTCAGCTTCATCCATTACTCTCGTTCAATTTTTTTTCCCTTTTACACATGAATAAATGTCTTTTTGTTTCTATTGTCAACACCTGCTGTTGTTTACGTCGTTTTCTGACAAGGCCACGCTTCAAAATCACCTCTGACTGAAGTGTGTAAGAGGTGTGGGTGTGTGTGTGTGCTTGTGTGTGTGTGTGTGCGTGCGTGTGTGTGCGTGCGTGTGTGTGTATGTGGGGAGGGGGGGTCGGAGTGATGGAGCCGGAGTGACAGCATGACACCCAGGGAAGAGCTCTGGTGTTTGGGTGCAGCTGTCTCTCAGTGTGTGGACAGGAGTGGATTAAGAAAGTTATTTTTATTTTTTTATTTTTTTCATTTTATTCAACAATACAAAAAAGAGACAAACATATGACAACATAATTAAAAACAATACGTAACAAAGACGCAGAAGTTACAGGATTAATGAAGTGTCTGTGTGTGTGTGTGTGTGTGTGTGTGTGGGTGTGTGTGTGCGTGCATGCTCTTTAGGTTTGTGTTATGCCTGTGTGAGCATGTGTACGTATCTGAGAGAGTTCTTTAATTGCATCTGTAAACCCTCTTGTCCAGTTTATTATAGCATTTGTAGCAATTTAAGATTAGGAGATTCTGTATTCGTCCCTCAGTGGGGATATTTCAGTGTTGCATCACGAGTTGAACAGTAGGAATGAGGAGTGCACAGGACTAGACAAGTATAGCACAACTCGATCGATCTTCTTCCCCTCACTTCCCCTTCCCCAGGAGGATGTCTGCTCTGTCAGTGAGAGCATAGCCTTCATCATTCAGCGGGGGCTTCAGGCAAAGTGGGGTCAAGTGTCTTGCCCAAGGACACAACGACAATAGACATCAGTGGGAGTTGCTGGGGAAGATCTCGTGATGGGCTCGAACCAGGTCCCGGCTTAAAAGTGGCCAAAATGCTTGCAATACCACCCACAACATTCAGGCTTAAAGTCCGATGCTCTATACAACTATAGCACAACTCTATACTTACAAATCTCTATCTTTAGCCTGCTTTAAATGAGCCATTCATCAAGTTAAAGCTGGGGTACCTACATTTACAACCACAAAGAAAGGAAAGGAAAAAAATAACAGAATTATCAATTTTTATCTTATTTATTTATGTATCTTTATTTACGCTCTTGTTCAGCCAATCAGCTCTCAGCCCAAAGTGTCAAATAGTGACTCACAGGGCATGTTTTCTTACAAGATAGAGGCAAGACACTGTGGTTGTCACAACATTTTTCTTTTACAAACCTGTTGGGACAAACAATGTATATTATCATTCTCATTTTACATACCAGTGTTTCGGCGAGAGCTGTTAAGCATCCTACTCCATATTCCTGCCGGATGAGGTGGAGAAAGTGTGAGTGGAAAGAGAAATGTATGGTATCTCTGCATAGACTGCTGCCCTGCGACCCGACAACGAATAAAACAGAACAAAATGGATGGATGGTTATTCGGTGGTCAGCCCAGTGGCCGCCAAAGCCCAACTAATCGCTTTTAGGATGCATCTAGGTCCAGTCTGTAGTGAATGTTTTGTTAACTTCTTTTTCTTTGTGTGTTTTCTGCTTCATAGACCGTTCCCTTCAGAAGACACCGCACTCAATGAGGACGATGTTTACCGCAGTCTGGAAGAGCTGGCTGAGTAAGTCCATCACAACTTCTATGGATAAGGCTTGTGAAATGATGGCAGAAATGTATTGTGGGAATAATACAAAGTTTACCAAGCGTTTACCAAGCGTGAATTACACAAGTTGATAGCCAAAAAATGGTCAGGGGTTTTTTTGAGAGGTCAACTTTTTGAGATACAGCCATAGTGTTACGGATTATGTACGTCTACGTTATTATGAATTCTGCTTATCAAATTTGATGGAGTAAATAAAAACTGAATGACTTTGGATACGTTGACTTTTATTTCTTGAGGAAAACGGAAAAAACGTCAAGGGTTTCTCAGCTGATGATCCGCAGAAATTAAAAAATTAAATTAAAAAAAATATTTCTGTAGCAAAAAATCCTGACCTGATTGAGCAAAACCAAGGTCATTTTCGGACTTATCAAAATTAGTCTAATTCAGCTGGAAAACCCTGGACTATTTTCAAAAAATATTTTTTTGTTACCCAGTGTTATCATTGTTATGTGCATCAAGATATGTATTATTTCTGTCAAATAGCCTTTAGATGCATTTTGAATTCATTATTGCCTAAGAAATCAACAGAATCTGTCTGAAAGTGCCACACAGAATTGTTGATACACATTTATAACACAGGAAGTGAACAATAAAACACTGGAGAGACTTATTGGACATGATGCAACCTTAAATTTTGTTTTTTTCAAAGGCAAATACTTTCTGAAATCACTGCCACACTCCTGATCTCTCCAGCATCGTTTCAGTCAAAGCTAAAAACCATTATTTTTTAACGTATTACAGTTTTAAGCCTTCAGTATTCTTCAGTGACATTCTGTATTTTTATTTTATCACATTATTGTTTTACCTTAAATGCTTTATAATGTTTGAAAATTTGTATGATTGTTTTTTAAAATCTTTTTTTATTTAACTTTTATTTTTCCAGGAAAGTCCCATTGAGATAAAGAACCTATTTTTCAAGGGAGTCCTGGACAAAAGTTACACAGTTACAGGCGATTACAGATTATACAAACAGTTACATGTCAGTGAGGACGTCTCAAGTTCTCTCAATCTGGATTTAAAAGCATTCAATGAAATAAATTCAGATAATTTCCAGTCTTTTTGCAACACATCCCATTTAAAAGGAGCAGCATATACAGTACTCTATATGTTGTATGTCTTTGTAAAGCACTTTGGCTTGCACTGAATCAGAATTATGTTTATTTCCAATTTGAGTAACAGGAAGTCACAAAAAATTAGGAAATTGCGTTGGCTCTTGGTGCAAACAAGTTGTAAAAGTAGTTGTAAAATCTTCATAACATGTCTTAAAATAACTACGATATATGCTAAATAAATTAGATTAATTGATGGCTTGATGCAACCTTGAATTTTCTATTTTCAGTACTTTTCTCTCTGACATCATAACCGCACTTCTGAACTCGCAGAGCCTTTGGTTTTGGCTCCAGTGGTATTAAAGCTGGCGTACCCAACTTTGTTAATGTGTTTCTTAAACCATTTAAAGGAGATGTTTTAAGTAACATTTTGTGAACATATCAGACAGGCTGCCTTTATCTTTTTTAGATTAGATTATTTGTGTTGTATATTCGATCGATTGATAGCATGATGGAACCTTGAATTTTCCACTTCCAGGGCAATACTCTCCGACATCACTGCCTCACTCCTGAACTCGCAGAGCCTTTGGTTTGGCGGCCATGTTGACCTGTCCACATATTTACGTTTCTCCTAATGACTGTGTTTGAGTCCTCGAAACGACAGACATGACAAACCCACGCACAGCCTCCGCCAAACAAACTGCGATCTGCCTTTTCCTGTTCGTCTAATTACACACGCACGCCGCCTGCTGTCAGTCTGCCCGTCGCCATGGTGATAGCGGCAGCGGCGAGGTATTATGGGCTGTCTGAGCGTGTGTGTGGGTGGGGGCTTTCAAAATGACAGTGTGGGGTTATGATTTGGCGTGGAATTAATGTATGATGGAGAGTAATTATGGAAAGGAGATGGTTGTTGAAATGGACGGTGGTTATCATTTGAGTGGAAACGGGGCCAAATGTTTGGTTTTTGCTTTTTAAAGTTAATTTGTCCGTCTATAAATACTCATTGAAACCATCGAGCGGAAATGCGTTGGCAAGCTCCTTATTACACATCTCTGGGTTTGGATAATTGAACACAGCATTGAACATTTACTTCAGTGGGATTAAAGCTAGAGTACCCAACTTTTTATTTTGTTTCTTTAAAGAAGTTTTTTTTTTTTTTAAAGTAACTTTTTGTGAACAAATTAGACCGCGATATGTTCAGTCTGCTCGCTCAGTCCGCTAATGTCCCCGTGACCACTTTGCTGCTCTCTGATTGGTTTTCGCACGAACTTCCCAAGGAAAGGATGAGCAGAATCCATCTCCTGTGGGCGTTGATTTTTCGCTCCTGCTCCTCCCTTTTCACTTTCCCGCCAAGTCCGTGCGTCATTATTGAACAGTCCGTTCGTGCGTGCCTAGAGGTTACGGTCGAACGCGCGCCACCATAGACTTTGCATTGAAACCCGACGCAACGCATGATCCGGTCTGAAAGCACCATAAGATGTTAGAGAGGGCAAAAATATATGCCAGTAAAAACTAGTGATAGAACTGTTTTAAAAACCAGGAAGTAGTTAAATGGATTTTTATTACAAAATATATGATTTCAATGTTAGGGGCTCCAGCTTTGCTCCTGTGGACTCACCACCTGCAGGAGGATCAGTGAGGGGCAGGTGCTATGTGTACTGGGTGCAGCTCTGACTGCCACCCCCCCGACCCAGAAATGGATTAAGGGGAAGAAAATGGATGGATGGGCTCCAGCTTTAAACTAGGAACTGACAACATACACATTTTGGAGCCAATAGGGATGCCATTTTCAGCTCATAAGATTGCTAATATAAAAATAAAATTTAAAATACCACTTATATGAGAAATAAAACACTCTTCTTTATGTTAAATCAGCCTCAGACCCTTGAAACATATGCAATACAATACAATACTATTGCGTAGCATGAGTATTGTAAACAATGCTATCGGCCTGCTTTATCACTATGCTACCACCAGAGGGAGATGTAGAATAATTTGAGTATTTTTCTCAGATTTGGAACATTACTGCCTGAAAACATTATAAAGAAATAATTATAAAGAAAGTAACTTTACCTGAAAAATGGCCAAATCGAATTTAAGGGCATGATGACATAGTGGCACAATGACATCATACAGGACTTAGACAGAAGATTTTAGACAGATACAGTTAGAGCAGAGTTACGTTATTACATTACAGTTAGTTTCTAAACTCTCCTATTATTCAGATGTTTTGTTTAATATATATCTGTATACATATTTTTAGCGCAACTTTAGGAAATGTTATTGTGAATATACCTATATATTGTAATTTTTATGTATGGGGTGTTCAATTAGTGTTTCAATTCAGCGAAAAGCCTTTCAGTCATTTTTTTATTCTTTGTTTATGTTTTCTGAAGGAAGAGACTGACTTAAACCAATTATAGAAAGAGAGATTATAGAAAGGAGATAGTTGTTTAGATGGATGGGTTGTTATCAATCAAGTGGAACCAGCGGCTACAGTATTTTTGGTTTTGCTTCTTTTAAGGTGATTTTAGCATTGAAGGGATTTTTGTCTGTTCTTAAAGGTATAAAGGAGGATTTTCCCATATTTTAGGAAAGAACCGCCCTTTCTACTTTTTGAACAAAACTCTCTGCTCTTATTGGACAAGGACGTATAAACAGAATGATTGACATTTGGGAGGACCAATAGTGTTGATGATCCACCCGGAAGTAAAAAATCCTCTTGGATACCTTTAAATGCTCATTTATACTGAGTGTTGGGAAGTACTTACATCACTGGGTTGGAAGATGTATTCTTGATCTGTTATTGACGAGGGAACCATGATGTAACAGCACTAAATTTATCTTGAACCGATAAACCCGTCAGTCCCTATAGTTAGAGCCATCTACTGTTAGAGCCAAATCAGGGAGACAAGGGAGTCATTGAATATTGAAAACGACCACTTTTTCTATATATATTTTTTTTTCAAGCATATCCTCAAGATATTTACAGTTACTCGACCACAAACTGGGTCAAAGCCTCTGCATGTTCCTTTCCTCCTGTTCCATCTCGAATGATAAGCAGTCACATAAACGCATGTGATTGTAAAACCTGGCAACGCCTGCAACGACGTCTACATGGTGTGAGAGAGCAAAAGGCGACGTGTGCCAACCAGGCTAATACAGGATTAAGACGCAACCCAGCATACGGCACCGCACCATGTCCTGGAAGAGAAATCCACCCCAAAATTCAGCTCATAACGCCGAAATTACATAACCAGAAAAGAAAAAAAACAGGTTTTCTTTGAAATAGATTTGAAGAAAGTGCGACTGAGTGAGACATTGTGAAAATATGCCCCCTCAGAGACGTGATTACTTCTGCTCCGCAATTACTGTAAAATATCAGGAAGGCAGCAAATGCACGGTATCCATAGCAACCGGTTTGAGAGTCAGCGCAGGGAGAGAACTTGAAATTGCTGTGGTATTTGGACGTGCTTTGGCCTTGGTCACGATCATTTTTTGGTAATTAATGGATGGATCAGTGCATTTTGGGGAAGAAAGTTTATCGCACCAGTGAAAAGTTTGTCTTTGTAACGCAATACAATTTAAGCTGAATATGTCACTTTTTAGGCTGACGTCTTATGTTTCTAATCATACTTTTATTGATATCAGATTGACAAGTTGAGAAGTTGTGTTAACACAGCATTCCAAAGAGTCTATAATTGTAGTGGAGGGAAGCTGAACAATCTTTATGGGAAAGTGTCAAAAGTCTTAGTTTGGAGCTTATGTCCCTGAAGTTCTTTGGCCAATCCATATCAAACAAAAGCTGGCACTACCTTCCACATTTTCTTTGTCAGTATATATCAACTTTGGCCTAATTGTTCTCTTATAAATGGGTTTGTATAATCTTTACAGTTGGTTAAAACTGCC